TACAAAAAAAAAAAAAAAAAGAAGGCAAAAAAAGCATCATGAATTTCCCACTGACCCAATATATAGCAGAAACAGTAGCCAACACCACAGACACCTTACTGGTTCAGCCTACACAATTCTGACTGAAGAGTTAAAACTAGGCAGATCTATTTGATGTGTGCCAAAACTGTTGGATCCATCAGCTGCAGAAGAAGCAGAGTTTTCAAGGGAATTTTTTTAGAATAATTTATTTATGTTTATTTATTCATTCATTTATTTTTAACTTGACCAGAGACAGACAGACAGACAGACACACACACACACACACACACACATACACACAGAGAGAGAGAGAGAGAGAGAGAGAGAGAGAGAGAGAGGTAAAAAAACAAGTACCAGGTCTAGGACGCAAACCATAGTTGGCCATGTGGGAGTGTCCAATGCCTCAACTACTATGCCACCCGCTGGTCCCCATCAAGGGAAATTATAAACAAATAGAATCAAGCTCCTGAAGCATTTCTGTGAAGAACAGGAGCTGACACAGGGCTTTACAGCTACAACCCTGCGGACAAAGCACAAGCAATGGCCACCAACAGTTGGAACTGGTTCACTTATAGCAACAGTTTTAGATATGCTCTGGGCATTCTTTCTGTTGATAATCTGAAGGGCTAAAGAATAACAGCAGCTGCTTATTATGAGAATGTCTTGAAAAAAATCAGCCAAAGCTTTGGCAGAAAAACGCCCAGAAAAGCTTTCCCAAAAAGCCCTTGCCCACCACGACAATGCTCCTGTTCATTCCTCTCATCAAACCACGGCAATTTTATCAGTGTTTTGATGGGAAATCACTAGGTACCCACCTTACCATGCAGCTTTGGCTGCTTCTGACTTCTTTTTGTTCTCTAATCATATTAGATCATTAAAGGGCACTCATTTCTCTTTAGATAATGATATAAAATGGAATTCACTGACATGGTTAAATTGCTGGGACCCTTGGTTCTATAGGGATGGAATGAATGGCTGGTATTATCACACATAAAAGTGTCAAACTTGATAAAACTTATGCTGAGAAACTAAAGTTTATATTTCTTATTATAATATTTTCATTTTTCCACAAACCTTTCTTTATATTTTTGTTTTAGATGTAGCTATAGAGTGCATGCACTCACCAGAGAGAAAGGGAGAAATTACCTCCCAGAAGGACAACCACACCACAATCCCTTTTCCCCTTTTTCTCTTGGGACTTTGGGACACACACGTATATGCACTAAGCATGATTTTTAAGCCATCACGTCCAAGACTCAAACCACAGTGCTGGCCATTTGGGATCCAGTGCCTTAACCTCTATACCACATGCTCTCCTTCTACAAACCATTGTCTCTTTGTATAAGAAACAGTCCTTGCCCTGTAGAGCTTTCAATTTGATTGATGAGACATGGCCACATACATATGCCATTAAACTTAATGAGAGAAGGAGGCAAGCCAGCCAGAACTTTTCAGATTCGATCTATGAATGTTCCTCATTCTTCAGGCTCTGCAATATGCTCCCAGATCCCGAATTAATTGGAAGGATGGAGAGGCATGTAGAGACCACCTAATGGCAGAAGACCTAAAGGACTATTTATAAGAAGCAAGAGAGGATGGTCATATGTCTTGGTAGTGAACTAAAACCGAAGCCATGTAAAGTAGCATATCTTTAAAATGGTGCCTGCAACCTGAAGGAAATCCCAGTTTTTCTTCCTCCAAACAATTGACCCTTGTATCTGTGTCTTAAAGATAAGAGTCTCAAAATCAGGATTCTCAGAGTGATTATATTGGATTTTCGTGAAAGTCATGCCGCATTTTCAGATAGAAAAATAGGTCATGATTTTCCTGACGACCTACCAGATTCCAGCCAATGTTACCAACTTCAGACTTTCCCATTCATTGCTATGACAGAGATGAACTTCTATAACTTTATAACTTTAGTCTTCTATTAAACCGTAAAACTGTAACTGTTTTACTGTAAAAATTTTTTCAACAGCTTTACTGAGGTTTTAATGATATACAATAAGCCACCCATAGGTAAAGTACATAATTTGTTGAACTTTAAAGTATGTATGGAATCATGGAAGTATCCTATAGCTTTTTGTTCGTGGTAGCTAATATGTTCCATTTTCTTCCTAAAAAGCCTATGAGTACGCATGTGATCTATTTATTTAAAGTTCACTAATATATTCATATTTTCTTATGGAACTTCTCCCAGTCTTCGATGGTAAATGAAAAGTCATAAAATTCTCAAAATTCTAGCATTTCTTACCTAAAAAACCATTCTGAGATTTTAAAATTGTATAGTATATACCACCATATACTCTTCTCATCTAATCAAAACTCTGGAAAAGGGAACACAAATGAAAATTCTAGATTTTATTTTTTTATCTTAAAAAAATTTAAAGTATTACAAACTATCAAATACAACCTGTTGTATTCCGTAAAGATTTAAGTCATAATACATTTCATTAAACACCATTGAAGGGTCACATATATTGAAGCGTTCCCAAAAAAGAGAATGAAATTTCATCTGTCATATACTTAAATAATACATACAAAACTAAGAGGAAAAAGTGAAATTTCTACTTCTCCCTGCCTGGTACATCTACATTAGAGTGAAAATATCAACACTGGTTCCATTCACAAAGAATAAAATTGATATTAATGAATAGACATTAAGTAATAATATGAACTCTCAATTTTTTTCTGTCCCTATTTATGGACCAAAAAAAAGGGGGCGGGGGGAGAAGCTTTGTATAAATAATGTGACATGGGTTCTTACTCACATTGTGAAACCTCTGGAAATGCCAGCTTTTGTTTTTTTGTGTGCCAAACTTTTTCCTACAATCTTTACCTTCAGACCAAAAGAATAACAGTGAAGGTCCATCTGCATGCTGGTAAAGATCACCAGGAGGGATGATAAGAACACACTCCTCTAGCTTTGAGCATGGGTCCAAAACACACTTTCTGACTGACTTCTACAGTTTTTGTCTTTCTCTAAAATGCATGGTTTGAATAGATTTACTGCTCTTCAATTTGAAGAAACTATTGTCAAGTAAAACCAATATTGTGAAATACAGACTGCTTTTTCATTTTTTTCTGTCTGCAATGGGAAAGGATTATTTTTTTTTTTGAATGAGAAAGTACCATCTGTTTGGCCTGTAGAGAAATTAATTTTATTAAACGCATGATAATGCATCTAGATTAAGAAATGAATTAGGAAAATAAAATTCCAAGAGTACAAAAAGATCTCTTTCTGAGGTTAATCATAAAGGTTGAAACTATCTAAATGGCTTGGAGGTTATACAGTGTAACTAGATGAGCCTAGGTAGAAAATCTTGGTGAACACTTGACTTTTTGTGAAAGGTTATCTATACCAAATGAATAATATTAGTAGTTGCCAAACATTCTCTACTCTCAAGCTCTATTGCCTCAGTCTTGGGTGAAATCTGTATGAGCCGGTCGTTATGTCATGTATAGAAGTGTAGCATCACGTTATTGGCAGACATAGCCCTCCAAGTTCATTTCAGAGCTACAAACATCAACGCTGAACAACACAGTGAAATGACATCCTCTCCTAGGACAGGGATCTGTTTCAAACACAGGCTGATACTGAAAAGGGGACATCATACTGAGATGGTATTCATCCTGCCACGTTATCCTGAGGGACACAGATTTACTGGAGAGATCCTCTAAATTGTATAATCTGGATTCCAAAGCTCTGATGTCCTCATTAGGAAATCCTTTTGGTGCAGCAATTTTCTAAACCTCTGGGTGGGGTCCCCTATGAACTTATCCACCCTGATTTAGATACGGTAACAGGGAGATTTTTACCCACATTTAAAATGTCTTTGGAGTATTAACACTTTACTAATATTTAGTGCTGATTTTTTGAATAAGATACATGAGTGAGGTAGAGAAGACCTATTTAATTAGCTGGCGTCCTTTTGTTGGTCATCTGTGCTGCCTCAGTGGTGCTCGTCTAGTAGGGCAGGCAGCCAGTGCATACTTGGGCACAGCAGGGTGATCTGTCCCTTAAATAAGTGGAGAGCAGTCAGCTGATGCTGCAACCAATTACACGCCTCTTCCTCATGCTTTTAACTAGTAGTATTACAAATGGTAACAATTATAAAATCCCTAACATCCCTTTTGAAAATTTATGTAAAATAACCACAAGCTAATGCATCGATTTGGCTGCACAGTGTTAAGAAATCTTACTTCTGCTTTCAGGCATTTTCGATTTCACTGACTTTCATCAACTATCCCCTAATCCTCATGGAGTAAAAGAAAAACAAAAATTAATTCCAAGTATCAAAACAGAAATCTCCCCAAGAAACACTCACATTCTTATAACGGTACTCTGACATTTCCTGTCTTAGAAGCGAGCTAGTTTGACGCTGAGATTACATGCTCACCTTACTATGTCATACTACTTCTTTGCTTTGGATTTTTATTACCTTTTCTAAATCTTCACTAATTTATATGTACGTACATATTTCCTATTAAGTCACCATGCCTTCCTAATTTCATCCCCTCCAAAAGAGCAGTATTTGAGGTTGCAAATGTGTAAGAATCAACCACAAATTCAGATGGTTTTTACTTGAGAGAAAATCTTATAAAGTGAAAGATCAGAAAAGTTATGTGCATTTCCGGAACGCTCTGGAAATAAATGTTACTATCATAAAGAGAAAGTAGAGGGGTAATCATTGGAAACTTCTCCTTACCCCTTGTTCAGATTCCAAAATCTCTGTTTTGACTCTGACTGCCGGCATCCCATCAAGCATTAACATTCTGTTCTCAAAGATGTTGGTATTCTGAGAATAAAAGACAGGAAAAGAGAGAGAGAGAGAGATTCAGCTATAAAACATTCAAAAAGGACATCTGGTAAGAGTTTTACTTCACTGTAGTATATTTAGTACCGCTAACCTAATTCTTTAACAGCGAAGTGTAATTAAATGAGAATATCAGCATAACCAATTATCCCCCCAATCTGAACTTCCACTTGAAATAATGACCAAGAAGTTGAATTAATCAGTCTGATTCTCTGACCTCTGGGCTGGAGGTCAGACTGTAATAAACTGGAGTATGGAAACCTTATATTAATTTATATGGGGCTAGATCAATTCATCATATTTTGCAGTAGTGGGAGCAAACAGAAGGCAAGTTTCTGCCTTTCTTATTTCTGGAGAGGGTAGCATGTACAGACACCCATAAAGGAAGGAAAAAATCATATAAAAATAACTTACATTCTCTCATATAAGTCAAGAGCTAAATAATTTAAAAGCAAGACAATATAATTCTATACACGTATATATTTTATGTTATGGCAATTCTGATTAAATGAAAATTTGTATTTAGCAACCCCCAAATCAACTTTTAAAACAATCAACATAAGTCTCAGATTCACAGTGACTTAACTTTTTTTTTTTTGATAGGGTTTGTTTTGCTATAGGGCGTGTGCGCTTGCAGAGACAGAGAGAGATAGAAAGGGAGAAATCATCCCCAGGGGGATGGCCACACCACAATCCCTTCTCCTTCAGTCTCCTCTCAGGATCTTGGGCACCCATGCACACATGCCAGGCCTGAGTTTGAAGTGGCCGGGTCTGGGACTTGAACTGTAGCAGACCATGTGGGAGTCGATTACATCATCTGCTGGTCACCATAGTGAATCTTAAGCTGAAGTCACAGCTAAGGAACAAATCATTTATTTTCTGCTCTGGTATACACTTGGCTCCATTTACCACCTCCTAAAAGAAAACCGTTATTTATACTATGGCTCAATAGGAATTTAAAGAACATTTATCAAAAATAAATAAATAAATAAACAAACCAGATGTTATATTCTACTAGTTTTCACTTAAGGGATTCTCTGAAGTCAGGAACCTATGGGCAGGTTCTGAAAGCAACCTATCAGTGCTTGCTTACAGGACTAAGTCAGGCCTGTATTGCTAAAACCTGCTTAAGGCTCCACTTTTCTTCTCAAGTTCTGACTAATTTAAGACATTAGTATGACCGACTAGACATGACTGAGTTTTCAGACAGGTTAATTTGCTCATTTACAGAATGTAACCACATGACACTAACCTGGTCATACTAAGGGAAAAGAGATCAGTTTCTAAATATTCTGCCTTCACAGTTAATTTCCAAACCTTCAGATTTTGGTCTTTCATAAACTGTCTTTTCATATATCTGGCTCTCATACACTTTTATATGCTTTGGTCTTTCATATACTTTGCTCTTCTACCAAGTAAAAAGTTGAATGAAAGCAAGTCTCGTTTCAGCAAATCCTAAATGAAATGTTTTATTACCTAATAATACCAACAGAGTGCAGTATAGTAAAGCGCTAATTATTTCTTGTATTTCTTCGATCTTCTTTTTAAGGAAAATATACTAAGAGATAAAATTTATAAGGTCTTTGATCACAAATAGTTACTTACTATAAGAGGTCAAAAATAAGAAAAAGCAAATTTACTTTGGAATCAACTAATGAGCAGCAAAAAAGCCCATGCCACCTAGTCAATTACACAATCAAAAGAAAATAAATTCCTGTCCCAGCCTTTCCTTGAAAAGGTACACTATCCTCAAAACTGGCAGGATATAGTGTCTACAATTTTTGCTTTTGACTTGTTTGTACTGGGTCGTCTGAAAGGCCGTGCTGTATTTTCCTATGCAAAAACGTATCAAGACTTTTCCAAGGGCCCAACAGTTTTCAGGGATCGTGCATCCTAACAGATTTTATAACCTTGGAGTAGAAAGAACTAGTACTACTAGCAAGTTTCGATTGATTTGTTCCAAACTTGCAATACTTCCATGGAGGCATGCGAGCTATTTACATATCCAGGATGAATCTCGAATTCTCACATGCCACTTGCCTCCATGACTGAGAGCAGCCAGCATGGCTTGTTACTACCCCATCTCAGGAAAGACTTCCTGCAGCAGCCAGTCAGCTCTGGCTCTCAGCTCTGCAGCATCTCTGGCAAGCAGCTCTAGGAATCCACCTTAACAAAGCATCCTGCAGGGTGTTTGGCTGGTAGACAATGAAGGATGAGTTGATACTGCTTCCTACCCTGGAGGAGGTCTCCCTTGCCCAGATGAAAAGGCAAAAAAACACCTTATAAGGGAGGCCAGAGCAAAGAAGGGGGAAAGACAAAGAGTGGTTCTGGAAAGGCAGGTTTAATGAACTGTTAGAATCTGATTAGAGGCTAATGTCCCTTTTAGTGCTTTGTACCAATTTACAGCTGATATACTTGAACCATTTTCCCCACTGGCTGTGATAAACTCATTAGTTTAAAAAAAAAATGCAAGCTAACCAGAGTCTCTGAAGTTAAAAACTGATAAATCAGGAACACCTGACCGAGTCCTTGTTCCATTTAGCACATTTAGATAAGTATCACTGTATTCTTGTGATGATTTTTGAAATTTGTTATTGTTGTTCTTAAGTAAGTCTATATGTGTTAAAGTCAGGATATACATTTTAGTTTCACATAAAAGTGAAGGAAAATAATATACATTTTTTTTTTTCAATCGAGTTTTCCTGGAAACATTTCTTCCTGTGATTTTTCAGGATCATCTATAGCCACAACCATTACAAACACAAAAATAGTAATGTTCACTAAGGAATCAAGCCTCAACTGTTAAAGGGTTTTGCATCTAGTGCACATTCAATCTGCATATATGTCTAAACACTGTAAAAATACATCAGGCATATTAATCTCTGAATTATTATTTTAACTGTTTGGCATAAACATAAGCACTGAGCTCAATTTGCATGTTCCAAGTCACCTAGGAAAATACGTTTTGCTATATTTTGTTTGTTTTTTCTAGAGGGCATATGCACTTGCTGGAGAGACAGAGAGAGAAAGCACCACCCAGGTGGGAGGACCACACAAAAATTCCTCCTCCTCTATCCCCCTCTCAGATGCACACACACAAGCACCTATAGAATTTCACAAGCCACTGGGTCCAGGATTCAATCTGCTGACCATGTGAGATCCAGCCACCTTAACCACACAGTCTGACTCAGAAGATGCATCATTTTTATATATCAATAGTTTATCGAATTATATGCATTGACTATTGTCAATGGGATAGTCCTTGAAACAAAATATTGATACATTTATTTCACTAAACTAGGATCAGATACATATCATCTCAGATGAGTAAAGGCTTGAAATAGGGAATCGGTTCTAATAGTTTGGAATTCCTGTCAAATAGATTTTGCCATAATAGTAATGAAAATATATCTGCTGTTGAATCAATAGCTCAAAAGAGTCTCAAGAGATAGATAAAATTATTCACAGTGATCAATTTTAGTATCATGGTACTCTGTATATTTCACAAATACTTTAGTAGTTTGGATGGGAGCAAGGAAAAGGGACTAATCTTCAGTGATTTTAACTCGGAAACATATACAATGGGAGTGACTTCGCAGGCCAGCTTTTACCATCTGCCTCTGCTTCCCCATAATGTAGTTCTTTTCCTCCCCCTCCTCCTGACTATGGGTCAGTTTTCACAACTGGAATAATATTTTTTTTTTTTTGGAGAGGATTTTTTTTTTGCTCTAGGGCGCGTGCGCTCGCCAGACAGACAGAGAGAGACAGAGAGACAGAAAGCGAGAAATCACTCCCCAGGGGGGATGGCCACACCGCAATCCCTAATCCTCCATTCTCCTCTCGGGATCTTGGGCATGCACGCACACGTGCCTGGCGTGAGTTTAAGCCACCAGGTCCAGGATGCAAACCGCAGTCGACTACGTGGGAGTCCAGCAACATAGCCATTATGCTAACTGCTGGTCCCACAACTGCAATAATAATATTTTTTTAAGCTTGAGCACAAATGTGCCAGTTCAACTAATTAAGTTAACAATGAATTCTAAAACCTGTACTGAAATCCAAAAGAATCAATGAATTCCTCCCACTCTTTCTGCATAGGGATTAGCAAACCTAATAGATTGGGATGATGTTTAGGTGACTGTCTGCTATTTATTCCTATACAACAAATCAGAGTGGCATAAAATAATTTCTCATTATATTGATAATAAACATAGTAATACCTAATATTTTCATATTTTTACTTTGTAAGTCACCCAAACTCAGACATTTCTATTATTAGCAACAGAGCACAGCAACCCAAGAGGTCAATGCTACATTATGTGAAGTTGAAGAATCTGAGACAAAAGGAGGTTAAATCAAGCCTCACATTTGGGAAATAGAAAAGTTATGCTCTAAATCCAATGAGTCTGATTACAACCTGTACTGTTTTTTTTGGAGAGGTTTTTGCTATAGGGCGCGTGCACTTGCCAGACAGACACAGACAGAGAGACAGAAAGCAAGAAATCATCCTCCGGGGGGGATGGCCACACCGCAATCCCTTCTCCTCCATTCTCCTCTCAGGATCTTGGGCACGCATGCACACGTGCCCGGCATGAGTTTTAAGTCACCGGGTCCGGGATGCGAACCGCGGTGGACTACGTGGGAGTCCAGCGACATAGTCATTACACTAAATGCTGGTTCCCACAACCCGTACTCTTAAACACTATAATCTACCTACCTATCTCCATATCAATATGCATGCACTCCTTATATAAAAACAGGGGAACAGATATGAACACCTTACTGACAATTCCAACAAAGATGCTCTGGAATCTCAGAAACAGCTCTCCCTAGTGTTGACCTGACCTGCCATGGAACTGGATGTGAAACTAGTCTTTATTGAGTAGCAACATTTTGGGGAATAATAAGTTAAATTAGCATCTAGTTTCAAAGAAATTTCCATTTTTTTTCTTTAAATCAAGTTTTCAACATATTTTCTCGGC